CCGAGTCCCCCGCGCGGCTGCGGCGGGCTTTGGACCCATCCGGCGTCGGCAGCGCAGGGGCAGAGGAAGGGACTTTTCCTGTTTGCCGGCACGGTGGGGTCTGGCACCCATCTGCTGCCACAGCCGAGCTCCAGAAAAATTTGGCCTTGCCTCGGCGCAGCCGCTAGCTGCCCCCTACGCCAGTGTGGGGACTCTCCGGTGGCTGATATAGGGTTGTGCTCAGGCCACGGCCCTTCGTGGGCGGGTGAGTTTTGTGCCACTGCCGGGTGCTTTTGCAGCGAAAGATTTGTCTCTCCTGGAGGAGGGAAGCCCCAATTTGGGGGTGAACCCCTCTTTCCACACCCACTTTGGCTGCCCAGCTTTGCCTGCAGCCCCCTGGGTCTGGGGTTTGGGGCAGAGTCCCACTGGCCAGGCAGAACCCCTGTTTATTTTTCCCCCCGTCTGCTTTTCGAGACGGAGCGGAAGAGCTCAGCCTCCGGCCCCTTTTCGGAAAGGCCGGGATATTTATAGCCACCTGGCTCAGGGAGTTGGGATTTGCCGTGGCTGCCTCCGTCCCCCCCCCTCCTGCCGCAGCATCCCTCAGCTGTGTCCTGCACCGGGGTGGGGGCCCTGGCCATGGGGCAACTCTTCCGGGTGTCTCTGTGGTGCTCAGGGTTCTCTGGGGGTCTCTGCATGACGCCCAGGGGTTCCCTGGGGGTCTCTGCGATTTCTGGGGTCCCGCGGGGGGTCTCTGTGCGATGCCAGGGGTGCCTCGGGGGTCTTTGTTTGGTTGATGGGGAGTGGATTTAGGGTTGATTTGGGGAGTCAGGACTGCAGGCATCACCCCCCTCCATTCAAAACCCGCAGTCAGCTGCTCCTCTTCACATCGTGCCTCAGTTTCCCCAATCTGATGCATCACCTGGGGGCAGCATCGGGATGGGGAGTGGGGCTGATCCTTTACCCCAACATCCCCCACCCATCTGTCTGCATTCACCCATCATCTGACATCTCCCTGCACCCGGGGACAAACCCTTCCTGACCGTGACATTCCCCGGCTCTGCCTCCCCTCAGGTGTATTCCCGCCAGCTCCACCATCCCGACCAGGTTCCCCCACCCGTCCCCATGGAGTGACCCCGTGTGAGGGTCTCTGCACCGGCACGGCCTCCCCGGCAGCCAGCCCGGCAGGGAGGGAAGCTGGACGTCGCCGCAAATATGAGCGACTTCTGGCACAAGCTGGGCTGCTGCGTCGTAGAGAAGCCACAGCCCGTAAGTAGCATCGGCCTGGCCGGTTTGGGGAGGGTCTGGTGTCCTGGGGCCGTGGGCTCAGCGGGGGCTGACGGCCTTTGTCCACTTGCAGAAGAAGAGGAGGAGGCGGATCGACCGCTCCATGATCGGGGAGCCCATGAACTTCGTCCATCTGACACATATTGGCTCTGGCGACATGGCCGCAGGAGAAGGCCTGCCCATGGTACCCTGCCCGCGTGCATGGTTGGGGTGGTGGATCTCTTGGTTGGGTGGTGGGTGTCACTGTTGGGGTGGTGGGTCTCATGGTTGGGTGGTGGGTGTCACTGTTGGGGTGGTGGGTCTCATGGATGGGTAGTGGGTGTCACTGTTGGGGTGGTGGGTCTCATGGTTGGGTGATGAGTGTCACTGTTGGGGTGGTGGGTCCCAGTTGGGTGATTGGTATCACTGTTGCGGTGGTGGAGTCTCACAGCTGGGTGATGGGTGTTGCTGTTGGGGTGGTGGCATCTCCTGGTTGGGTGATGGCTCTGACAGTTGGGTGACGGGGCTCAAAGTGGGGTGAAATGGCCTTATGTTTGGGCAATGGGGTGGCACAGTTGGGTGATGGGGCTCACAGCGGTGATGACACAGCTCTGCACCCTCCCTGCAGACCGGTGCCGTCCAGGAGATGAGGTCCAAGGGTGGTCGGGAACGACAGTGGACCAGCTCCCGGGTCTTGTAGCGTGTGAGTACATGGCCATGCGGGCAGCTGTGGCAGCCCCAGGCACCCGCTGTCCCCCTCTGAGGCACCGCCACTAATTAATACACCCAAACGAGCCACTGCTTGGGCGGTTCTATAACCCGGTCTCCTGGACTTTGCAGATTCCTGGCTTTTTCAGCCCAAACTTGAACTGCCTGATCCCCCAACTGGAGGAGAAGCCCACCTCGAGCGCTTTAACCCCACGGTAATTTATGCAGAGCGATCCTCGCCCAGCTCCCGGTGGCTTTTGGTCGTTTCCCCCCCCGGCAAATCCCTCCTTCCCAGAGGCATCGGGTCGGTGACGTGGGGAGGGAGCGGGGACAGCAGCCCCCACCTCGTGCCCGACCGGGATTTCAGCCGAAAGGACTCAGCCGCCCTCCCGAAGTGCGCCAGGAGCTGCTGGGTGCAGCCGAGATGTGCCAAATCCTCCTGGTTTTCCCTTTTTCCACACCGGCATCTCCCATGGGCCCCTCTCGGCACTGGGCTGTGGTGCCTCAGTTTCCCTTGGGGATCACGGCGAGGCCAGTCCTGATGCCAAGGCTGATCTGGTGCCCTCTCGGAAAGGCGTAGAAGAGCAAAACTGGGATTAAACCCCGACGCTTTGGTGCAAAACCGGGATTAAACCCCGATGCTTCAGTGTCTCACCGGCAGCGGCTCAGCGCCGACACCACCACCAAGCCCACGGTGCCTCCAGCCGGCATTTCTGCTGCCGGCAAACTGCCACCTTCCTTCTTTTTTAGGATATATATATATATTTTTTTTTTTTAAGCTCAAAAAACCTACTAGGCAGCCTCTGCCGCCTCGGAGGCAGGACCGTGGTTGGGTCACCTCCACCCGGGATCGCCACCAGGGTTTCACCGGCACTGGCCGAGGCAGGACGGGGCCTGGCCCGAGAGGGACTCGGGCTCCCGAATTCGGGCGCGGGTGTATATAGTTTAAATAGCGCCGGGATTAAATATTAAATAGCACGTGCTGGGCACCACGGCCGGGAGGCAGAGGCTTTCCCCTTCGCCATGCTCCACACCATGCCGGGATGCTCCTGCGCGGGAACTGGGCTTTTCCAGCCCCACGGCACGCTCGGCGTTGGTAAGCGAGTGCCAATGCTTGATGCGGTTTTCCCTCCGCTGGGAAAAACAACCCACCCTTGAAATAAAACCCTTGTGCTGGCCCGAGGAGCGCATCCGCGAGCTGCCCGGGCCTCCTCGCCTCCCTCCTCTGCTACTTGGGCTGCCAAATTTGCCAGGAGAAGCTGAGACAACCCCTCCCCGCACACACTGGGCACCGCGCTCCTGTCCACGTCCTTTATTCACCCGTGGGTGCTCAGGGACCGCGTTGGGCAGCCCGAGAGCCCCTAATGCCACCGCATGTCCCTTTGCGTCCCTGTCACCGTGTCACATCCCGGCTGCCATCCCAGCTGGGCTCCAGCCTGCGGGGAGAGGAAAGCATCCGTGGCCGGCACCCCATGAGCCCTCCCCTAAACCCCAGGACTCACCGCCGGACGGGCTCGGGGATGTGTGCCGGATCCACCGGGATGAGCCGGGAGAGCTCCCGCAGGCTGGCAGCAAACCGGACCTTGCCGCTGAAGGTGGGGCTGGCGGAGATGGGGGGGCCAAGACCCCCCCAGCTCGTTACACCCTTGTGTGATGGGTCCGGTTTACTGGGAGCCAACACGGGAAGCCTCAGGGAGGAGGTGAACCTCCCCGTGCGAGGACTCGCACGCGCGGGTGCAAGTGACCCTACCTGAGAAAGGGCTGGGAGAGCGTGATGAGTGCCTTGATGTACCAGGTGGGGTGGACGATGATCACAGCCTGGAGACTCCGCCGGAGCCTGGGAAGGACCGGGAGATGCTCCAGGGCTGCCCATGATCCCGGCACACTTGCTCCCACCCCCGGCACGCTCACCGCTGATCCATAGCCCGGTAGCACCGTTTCATCCAGCTGAAGGAGGGGATCTGCCCCCGCGCTGCCGCCCCGCTCAGGCACACCAGGACATAGCGGTCGGCCACCATCCTCTCCAGAGTGCCCACGATGTACCTGGAGGGACAGCACAGCCCGTCAGCTTGGGGAAACTGAGGCACGGGGCATGTGGGAAGGCTCCCAACGCCCCCCCGGGACCCCCACCTGAGCAGGTTCTCCATGACGTAGCTGTACCGGGGGATGCTGCTGTCCGGGAGGTGGCAGGCGGCAAAGAGCAGGATGGCGCCGAAGCCCTCGCCGTGGTAGCCTAGCCGGAGCAGATGGTGGCCTGTTGGCCCCCCTAGACCCGGTGGGCTCAGGGAGGGGACCCAGGACTCCCACCCCGGGCACCCGTCCCCACATTACCCCCATGGGAGAGGACTCGGCTGTAGGGCTCCACCGCACTCCGATCCACGCTTTCCTCTGGCCACTCATCCTCCGTGTCCGGCACTCGCCGGTTGCTAGCCCTCTCGGCAGAGCCCCGGGCCCACGGCAGCTCCTCTGCGGGCAGACGGTTAGCGCGGCACCGGGGGGGACGAACACAGAGGTCCCCCATGCCCCCACCCCGGCCGGGTCTCACCCTCCCACTCGAAGCCATCGCTGCCCGAGGGAGTCTCCAGCGCGTCCAGGTCAAGGTCGATGCTGGCGTCGGGCGAGTGGCCGGCACTCTCGGTGCGCCCCCGCG